GCGTCTGCCAGGACTTCTGTCCCAGGTGAGAGCTGCTCTGATCCCTGCCTCTCCAGCCCTTGTACTGAAGCTAGTCAATTGTATTCTTCCCCATATGTCTCCTGTGCTTTACAAGTTGCTGCCTCTGTGTTGGAGCCTAGAGCGAGAGAGTTGCGAGCATGTGAGATTGTGCTTGTTTCCTTTAAGAGGATGCCTCTGTGTTCAGCAGCCCTCCATCTCACTTGGATGCAATCCCCACTGGTTTTTACAACCAGGTATTATGGGGACTTGTTTTCCCAGCACTGGCATCTCAGTCTTAGGAGCCCAGTGTGGGGCAGGGGCAGGGACCTCTCCTCCTCAGAGGGTACCTGCACAGCTGAGCTATCCATCCTGATTCTAAATTACCACACCATGGGTTCTGCGTCTCCACCCCTCCTACCAGTCTCGTAGTGGCTTCTTTATATTCTTAGTTCTAGGACTTCTGTTCAGTTAGTCTCAGGTGGTCTTCAGTGATGATTGTTCTGTAATTTAATTGTACTTTTGATGTCATGAGAGGAGGCCTTCGCAGCATTTACCTAGTCAGCCATTTTGACCCAAAGTCTATTTTCTCTTTTTTTATATAGAAATGGCAGCATACTAGATCTACTCTTCTACACTTGCTTTTCTCATATATCAAAATATAAAAGCCACTAATTTAGGAAAACCTCCTTGACAAAATCCTGAAATTGAAACAGGACAGGGAAGAACTATAGAAACCAATGAAGATGCTGGAAAATAAGAAATAAAGTAATTAGGGAGAATAATGCATCAATATGTTCTAGTAAATTGGAAAATCTAAGTGAAGTAAATGACTAAAAAAATATAAGAAATAGAAAATCTGAGTGAACCAGTAAGAGAAGAAGACATGAGAAAATTGCCAGATAGCCAAGAGAGAAAGCAATTGAAGAAGAATGGAATTAGCAGTTGAATTGAGACATCCTGAGATGAGTCAGATAAGATGCTTTAGATTTGCACCTGAGATGACCTCAGAGGGCTTTCAGTAGAGCAGTAAGAATGTGCACCCAATTGCTGGGTGGCTGCAAAGAGAGTTGCAGGTGAGGAAATGGAGACAGAGTAGAAGAACATTGTAGTGTAGTTCTGCTGTAAGTGGTACTTAGCATGGTACTCAGCATAGAGGGAAGATTTTTTCCTTTAAGGTTGCAGAGTTTTGAGCATATTTAAGGGATGATTGTCCCACGCCAGTAGAGGGAAAAGGTGAAAGTGCAGAAGAGAAAATAAATAATAGATAATTGAGATGTCCCTGAAAAAGGCAGGAGGAATTGAGATCTGGAATATAGATGGAAGGGGATTGGCCCTAGACAGGAGAAGGATTTCCTCTTCCATTCTGAAATGAAGAAGGGATGGACGCACATCCAGGTAAGGATTGGTGCTGGGAGGAATTTGGAGAATTTCTTGTTTGATGGCTTCCCATTTCTCCGTAGAGTGGCTTAGTCATTTGCTGAAAGTGAAGGGAGAAATGAAGGGCTAAGAGGTTTGAGAGAATGGAGAGTGCGTAATGATCAGTGGAGACAATAGGAGAGAAAACTGAATGGATGGGTACATGGGGTCCATGGGCAGCACTGAGGCCCACGTGGGTTCCAGCATTGCTCAGCCCACAAGGTGCAGGCGTGGAAAATGCCAACAAGGAGATTCTTCTGGGGAAGTGCTCTTCTCACTTACTGGTCTCAGGACCCCTTTACGTACTTTTCATTGCTAGCTCCAGAGAGCTTTCATTTATGTAGAGCATGTTTATTGATAAGGTCTCTATTAGAAATTAAAACTGGGAAACTTAAAAATGTTTATATTTCATGTAGAAATAAAATAAAAATCTATCCTGTTAACATAATACATTTTTATGAAAACTGACTATATTTTCCAAAACAAGAAATTTAGAGAGAAGAATGGTAGGTTTAATGGTTTGGCAGATCTCTTTAATCTCTGACATATTAGAAGATACATTGGGTTGTTGGAAAAGTCATGACGTATTTTTTTATGTTTTTCGTTGCAAAAATGCATCGTGACTTTTCCGACAACCCAATAGTTGGATTCACTTATTTTTCTATTCAGCCTGTTGCAGTATGTTGTTTTTGTCCAATTATATGATGAAAATTCATCCTCATAAGCATAGGTAATTGGAAAAGGGAGTATTTTAATAACCTTTTCAGATAATTGTGGTTCTTCTTTGATACTACACCAAAACTATACAGATGGTAAGTTTCTTAAAGATTAGTTAAGAATTTGGATTCTGACTCTTATCAATGAACTTTTTGTATCTAAAATCTATTGATATATTTTGCTGTGCATCTATTCTGATCTGTTCTGTTCATAGCTCTTTTGCCTATGCATGATTTTGTAACATCTTGCCTTTGTAACATTATGGTTCAAGGAGTTATGTAGATCTTCTAAGTGATATGCTTCATTAGACAATATTTAAAAATCACATTCATTAATATCACCCTTGATATCACTAGAAAAGCCTTTAATTATTGAGAAGCCATCAAATTCACAGTGATGGATACAAGTTTTACACCATTCTAATTTTTGCTTGAAAAATGGAATTTTATCATAAGTGATAAATTCTGTCATTGTTTTCCTTGAAGTAACAGGCTTGCTTTGTTCAGTTTTGAGAAAGTGTTCAGTATGCAAGCCTGAGTAATCAAACAGTTGCACAAGTGCTTTTTCTTTGAGACACCTATCCCACTTCATGATGTAGCAGCAGTGCTTTGTATGTTTTATTTCATTTCATCACACCAGATATTAAAAGGCTATGTACTTAATGGTTGAGATTTAGTAAAATTGTACTTTATTGAGACACAAGAGAAACTGGCCTCTTTGTGTTCCTGCACGTGCATGGTGGTGAAGAGTACAATGCCACTGGTACATAAATAAGGTACTTAGCCTTTATTTATGCTAAAATTCCAGTAGTGTTTCTCACTATTGCTTTAGTACCATAAGTACAAGTGTGCGCACAGTGAAAAAGGGGCACATAACATCTTAATATTATTATGAAAATAAATTTGACCTTGTGAAACCTCTGAAAAGGTCTTAGGGACCCATAGAGATCCATGAACCACGTTTTGAAAATTGATGTTCTAGGCTTCTGATTTTGTAGGTGTGTTAAGTGGAGTTGAGACATGGCAGTAAAAGGTACCATAGTTACAGATTGGACCATGGGTTCTGGCTTGCAGAGTCCTTTCACTTCCTGCATATTTGCTCTTTCTGAAAGGATACCAGATGTGCTTTTCAACTTATTTATTTGAAGTATGACAATTGCATGCTACATAGTCAAAGGAGCAATTTATGATGCTGAAATAACATTTGGGAGTAAAGAACTGTAGCTTGGAATACTAGACAGTACAAAGGATTTAAGAACTAGAGTTCCTAGTCCTGCCTCTGTTCTTCACGAGGCTTACTAAGTCCTGGGAATGTCTTCTTACCTGTCTAATCCTCAGGTTTCTCACCTCTAGGATGGGATTAATACTATTTGCTTCTACTTTCTCAAGATAGTTTTGATATTCAGATGATACCATCAGTTCCTTACCCCAGGTGATACTTTCTTCATCTTTACATCTGTAGCGCTGCGCTTGGTGTGTGATAGATAAGTCAGTAAATGTATATTGAGTTAATGAATGAGCTTTGAAAAAATGGTTTGTTTATGAAAGCTTTAAACATACAAAAGAAATAGAATTGTATAATGAACCCGTCTACCCTTCCCCGAATGCATTTGTAACTCTAGAAAATAAGACATGTTTTCATGTAAACAAAATATGACAGCCAATGAAATTAAAATTAGGTCCTTAATATCATCAGATACTCCTCTCACATTCAAATATCTCCAATTGAAGTAAAATATGTGCATATATATGTTTTCACAGTTGGTTTGTTCAAATCAGACCCACACAAAGTCCACTCATTGCAATTGTTTATGACTCTTGGTTTCTTTTAATCAAGAACAACTTCACTCCTCCAGCTCCTCCCTTTTTTATGTCATTAACTTGTTGGAGAAGTTGGCGCTAGTTTTTAAAAATTTACCAGTGTTTGATTGTTTCCCTGTAGTGTTATTTAGCTTATTCCTCTATTCCCTATATTTCTGGTAAACATAAATGTTTGATTAGATTCATATTTAGCTTTTTGGCAAGAATACTTTTTAGATGGTGCTGTGTTCTTCTTATGTGTATCACAGTAGGCGGTGCGTAATGTTTTCCTGATGCCAAGTGTGAGCAGTGGGTTCAAGTGTTGGCAGCCTGGCCTTTCCATTGTTCACCATCAGTGGAACAGTATCCAAGAGGCAGAGCTGTAGATAGTAACAAGCCTCTAAATTAGGGACTGGAGAGTTAACAGCGAGGATAAAGTTATACACAGTATGGAAAGAACTAATGTTTTTTCCCGCCATAGTAGATTTAGAGCTTATCTCTTAACATCAAATCATATTAAAACAAATGCCTTTAAAACATCTTTATAATAAAAAGACTCTCAAAACCGTTCTATGTCTAGATTATTTTAAGAATTTTATTAATTTAAATAACATTAATTGATACAGTAAGAGTCCAGATGACAATTTAGACACACCCTTGGCACTCTCTTGGTAATGAGATTTAAGGTGTTGGCTACAGGTACCATAATTTTTGTTTGCTTGTTTCTGTTAGAAAATAATTAAAGCACCCCCATCTTATGTGGTTAATAATGAATCCATTTGTAGAAATTACTGTTGAACTCAGACATTGGGAAATTAAAACAGTGCAAATTTGCAAAATATTGTTTAGTTTCTTCTTTTTGCTATTTATGTCTGTTAAAATGATACTGCAAGAAAAGTCTGTACTTCATATTTAGACTGGGGGTGAGGACAGGCAGTCAGAGTAATTTCTATGGAACCAAAAAAAGTTACCAATTTCTTGAAAAACTGGAGTGTTTTCAGGTTGTTGATTATGGAACATGAAATTTTACCCAAGGACATATTATTAACTTATTTCTTTCTTCAACAGGAAAATAGAAAGTATTTCAAGCGTAGTGAACTTGCAAAAAAAGAAGAGGAAGCATATTACGAAAGATGTGGCTACAAGGTATGAATGCCTGCTTTTAGGTTAACTTGTACATTTCTGAGTTTAAATTTATACACCTGTTGTTAAAGTGACAAAATTATTGATCTCTGTTCAATTTATCAATGTTATACATTAGCCTATAAATGAGAAGCCATCTGGAGAGGTATGAGTTTTTGTTTTTCTTTTTTCTTTTTTTTTTAATCTTAAATTCAGGAAAATACATGCATGACTTTTGGCTTGGAATGGTTGGCTTTTTGTGGACAGCATGAAGTGGCTTGACATCAAAGCTTGAATTTTTTTTTTTTTTTATTAAGTCCTGGATCTGATAGTGCCTCATTTTCATCTCCACTACCACTCCTTTCCCACCTCTCCCAATAAAAGTCTATTTTTAAAGGGTTCAAAACATTTTCTTCATTCAATAACAGTGGTATCAGCAGTGATGTTTTCCCTGCTTTCTCCGGAATACTTTAGGCCATTGTTTTTATATTTGCATTGTTAGTAATTCCTTTTGGCCCTATACCTTTTTGTGAAGGTAATGCCATATAACATTTATATGCTTTTGTGTAATAAGGAATCACATTTCAGACATTGCTCAGTCTGTTGGATAGAACATTTAATCTTGAAATATTTGTTAGCAACAAATTAGTTGTCTGGAAGACTTTGTATGTTTTAGAAGCATGACTGAAATTATCTTTGAGATTACCTAGTTGAATAACGGGGTTTTTATTGGGAGGGGTTAAAGGTTATGAGATGAAGTTATGTTTAAATTATTTTTAAAAGACTGTATCTAGTTTAATAATTTTGTAGCCAAAGTTGAGAGGCTGTATGAAATACTTTTGCCAAATCACAAATTTGAAATCAACTTTTTGCTTGTGAAACATCAATATATAAAATAATACCCTTGTGCATGTCATGGGGAAAGTTCTGGAAATTATCTGGCATAGCATTTCTAGAGGGAAGCATGAGGAATGCAAATGGTATGTATATGCATTTGGTTTTGTTTTGTAGTGTTGGGAGAGAGCAAGTTTTAAAAATGCAGTTCTATTTCTGGTAGGTTTATAAAATATGAAAGCTTGTGTTTTGATATTTTCCATAAATTGATTTCATTTGCTTCTAATTCAGGAAATTAAAATATGTTTTGTGTAAATAAGCATTGAATCGATATTCAGAAAGAAGAATTCTCATCTTTTGCTTGCCCAACATTGTCTAACTCACACTTGATTTGGAATAAGACTGACTTACCCTGGGTTTAGTCTGCTGGCTTGTTGCTTTCCCAGATCCCTAAATTTGAACCTTTCAACTTTTTGATAAGGTAGGAAAATAAATAGGAAAAGAAATTAAAACAGTGGCAGTTTGGCTTTGGTTAGATTGCATCAGTGATATGGCAGTGCTTTCTTGCTTGTAGAGAGGAAAGCACTGAGGCAAAGTAATTATTGTAAATGTTTTGCTTGTGATGCTGAGTCCCGCTGACAAAACGTCAAAGTTCTTTTTCTTTCCCTCAGAGCTATTAACTGCCATTCTATAATTAAAAATGCTTCTTATCCTGAGATTTTTTTTTGAGAAATTACCTGTTTTATACTTAAAAAGAAAGCACAGGTTTTTCTTTCTAAAACATTTTTAATATTTCCTTTTTGGTAGTAATGAAAGTACAGCATGAATTACTGTTAAAATTCCATTATAGAAACTAGTTACCATTTTTTAAGACTTAATGGCAATTTGGCTTGTGAAAATATGAAAGTTTAGTTACTACCTCAACTTTCTGTTAGTACTATTAACACTGATAAACATAACCTTTAACCATAAACTATAGAATCATAAATTATACAGTTTTAACCATATAGCATTTCTTACTTGAATTGTGAATTTTTTTCTTAATGTTGATCTTTTATGTTTTTTAAAAAAATTTCTTGGCATTTTAGATTTGTCTTCTGGTCAGTTGAGAAACCATATTTCAATATCTTTTTATAGAACACACAGTGGGGCTTACAAATTGCTGAATTCAGTTTTCCTAAACTGTGACTTGGGCAGCAGACAGAAGAAAACATATAAAGAGATTTTTTTTTTTCCACTGCAGGTTCATATGAATAAGAATGTCCACTCTTTTCTTTGTGTGGTATGAGTAGAGAGGTTTTTCATTACTTTTCCACAAGGTTTGTAGCCTAGTTTGTGGGCAAGTTCTATATAGCATTGGGAATTTTTCTACATGTCCAACAGTGATTTTTGTGCACTTGCAATAATACCTTTCAGAAAGTAGGGTAGGAAAAAACTGGAGCTTGAGACTTCACAGGTTTCTGTTAAAGCAGTTCTTTTCTTTGGCTTTCATTTTAAACCCAGAGCAAGGATCAGATAACTATGTAAGATGAGTTTCTCAAAGAGGAGATGCAAGTTGATTGCTTTTAAGAAAAAAGTAAAATTCTTTGGAGTTTAGAGTTAAGATGAGTCTAAATTTCAGACTTTTTAAGTTTTTGATTTTGGAAACCGTTACACTTATTTTACCCTTCTGTAGCAGAACACAATTTTGGATGTACACGCTTTCTACTTGTGCTGTCCCTGATACGGACATGTTTGATAAGCTCTTAAAAGCGGTACATTTATTATGAGCGCTTTCCTCAGAGAAGCGCTTAGAAGACCTTCAATATTTAAAACATGTTTAACTTCTGTGAATAGCTAATCTAGCAGAATGATAAATATTAACTATATTTTAAAAGCTGAATTTCGTTTCTTTTGGCCATTAATATAGATACAGCCAAAAGAAGAGGACCAGAAACCATTAACTTCATCGAATCCAGTATTAGAACTTGAACTCGCAGAGGAAAAATTACCCATGACCCTTTCTAGGCAAGAGGTAAGTTTATATATATAAAATGCTTCGTGGGGGAAAAAAAGGAAAACTCTCCACAGCATTTTTTATTTCTAGCTCTTTCCAGTAAGTTTTATGTCATTATTTCCAATATAAGATGACTCTTTAAATACTGTGCAGCTAGCCAGTTTTCTTCATAAGGTTCTAAATTAATCTGCTTTTCTTGATGCTATTATCTTAAACTTTTTAAAGAATCCTTCTAAATTTTAAAAACTAAACATGTTTTAAGTGCATATATTCTAAATAATTATACGTAAATTATTTGTCTAAATTATTTTAAATAATGTACTATTTTATAGCTTACTTTTTTCTTAATACATCTTTCTAGGTCAAAATATAAAGATCTGTATAATTTTTTTACTATAATTTCCCTTTTATTTTAAAAAACAATTTTTTATTAATGGTCATTTAGATTGCTTCAGCATTTGCCTATTATGAATCAAACTAAGATGAGCATCCTATACAGACGTTGCACGCATAATTATGATTATTTCCTTTGGAAAATTTTCTAGAAGCTTGATTTCTGGAGCCTATGTACTAAAGACTAAAGACTATGCACATTTCTAAAATTTAATCCATATTACTAGAGGGCTGGCTTTATATCAGTTTCACCAGTTTATATTTTCACCCGTAGTGTTTGCCCATACTGTGGTCAATATCAACTATCATTTCCCTAAACCCGACAAACAACATTTTAGATATCCATGTGATGTAAAGAATTCAAACTGTACAGACGGGTACAAAACAAAAACGGACTTTGAACGAAAAACTTTCAGAGGAAAAGATGGCTGACTCTAGAAGCTGTCATGTGACAATTAGATGAATTGAATACTTCGCCTGAAGAGAGGAATATTAGAGACTTTTAAAAGAATCCATTGACAACAGCTCTAATTTTGGAAAAGAATTGAGCATTCTGTGATTTAATAAAATAGAACTAAGGTAAATGAGTAGGAGTTTTCAGGGAGGTAGATTTTAGTTCATTTTGAGAAGCAAAACATATCTGTCAAAAAACGGGATAGGCTGTTTCATGAAGAGATGTGATTCCTGTCATTGGTCAGACAGGGACCCAACAAAGATGTTTTTTGAGGTCATTTCTACATTAATTAGAGGAAGCAGTCGACAACCTCTTAAGTTTCTTTTTAATACCAAGCTTCAGTTAATCCACTGGGAGCCCTACCAGTGGTTTCTAAGTCTGATTCTATTTATGTTTCCAGGTAAAGTTCTTGGTATTTAAAAAAAAAAGTTTGTATCAACCATTATTAATTATAAGTTTTGTTTCCCCTTTTTATGAACTATAATATGTATATAAAGAGTGTATAAAATACATGTGCAATATAATGGATAACTGCAAAACGAACATCCATATAACCATCACTTAGGTCAATAAATAGAGCATTATCAGCCCCTCAAAAGCCCTGTATGTGCCCCACTCTGATCGTAACTTAGTTTTTCTTCTGAGGGACAAGTATTTGGTTTAAATGTAGCATTGCAATCTGTTCTTAGCTGTGATCATTGAGTTATCAGCTGACTCTAGACTTTATTTTCTTTCTCTATATAAATACCATCACTCCCTCCATTCTTAATGTGTTTTTTAATGTATTCTGCTACACAGATTGATTGCTACTTTCCTGAAACAGTCAGCCAAAGGACCTAAACTGTTAGCATTATTAAAGTGTGACAGTAATAACTCAGTATATCTGTTCATGGAAAATTAAAGAAAAAACAAGCACAACTTTCTGCATCAGCATTTCACAATAAGTATTTGGTCACCTAAAATAGGAATTACTGTTACCAAAACATCAGGAATTACTACTGTCTTTTGATTTTTTTTTATAGGTTATCAGAAGATTGAGAGAAAGAGGGGAACCAATCAGACTATTTGGAGAAACCGATTATGATGCTTTTCAACGTTTAAGAAAAATAGAGATCCTCACACCAGAAGTTAACAAGGTAATAAGACAGAACAAAGCTATTAATAGAAGACTGTCACTGTAGCACAGAAACTACAATAGTATGGAATTTGACGAAGCTTGACTAATTATTATAGGCAAAATGGAAAAATAAAGTTGCCAGATTGTAGCTGAATGTGTTTTCTTTAATTTTCAAAACACATATCTTAAGCATACAGTTTAGTGCATTTTGACAGATACATATAAGCATGTAATTAGTATGCTTATGAAGATATACAACATTTTTATCACCCAAGAAAGTTCCTAAGCACCCCTTTTTAACAATCCCATATTCTTCCTTCTCCACTCCTGGGCAGCCACCTTTTAAAATTCTGTCACTGTAGGTTAATTTTGCTTGTTTTACTATTTCATATAGATCGAGTCACAGAGTATGTGTCTGGCTTCTTTTGCTCAGCACAGTATTTCTTAGATTCATCCATGTTATTGCGGATATCAGTAGTTTGTTCCTTTTCATTGCCGATGATATTCAGTCATATGAATATACCACAATTTGTTTTTCACTTTGGGCTGTAAACTGCTATGAACGTTCTTATACAAATCTTTTTGAACCTTTGTTATTTCTCTTGGGTAAATACGTTGCATCTCTTGGGTAAATACCTAGAAGTAGAATTGCTAAATAGTAAGAGTAAATGTATGCTTAACTTTTTAAGAAATGCCAGATATTTCCAAATGTCATCAGCACTGTTACTGTTAGTCTTAAATTTTAACCATGCTCATGGATGTGTAATAGCATCTCATTGTGCTTCTATTCACACTTCCCTGATAACTAAATATTATGAGCATCTTTTCATGGACTTATTGGCCACATCTTTCTCTGTGCAGTGTGTGTTAGTCTTTTGTTCATGTCTTAATTGGGTTGTTTGTCTTTTTATTTTTGAATAGTAGGAGCTCTTCATATATTCTGGATATTAAGTCCTTTCGCAGATATAGATATACATTTTGTGACTACCTTCTCCTAGTATATGGCTTACCGATACTCTTATTGGTGTCTTTTGAGAGGCAGAGTTTTAAATTTCGATGAAGTTTATCAGTTTTTTCTTTTATAGTATTACCTTTGGTGTTTTGCTTAAGAAATCTTTGCTTGTCTCAATGTCTTGAAAAGATATTCTTCTGCTTTTTTTTCTAAAAGCTTCATAGTTGTAGCTTTTACGTTTAGGGCTCTGATCTTGTTTTATGACTCAGCATATGGCCTGTCTGGATGAATATTCCGTGGGCTCTTGAAAAGAGTATGTTTTATGCTTTGGTAAATGTCTGTTACTATAGTATTGTTCAGATATTCTGTGGCCTTATTAACTCATTACTTGTTTTATCAATTACTGAGAAACAAGTGTGGTTATCTATGGCTATGTAACAGATCACCCCTAAACTTAATAGCTTAACATAATTTATTATTATAAAATCTTTTTTGGCTATCTCTGACTGTAACAAACCACTCTGAAACCTAGTAACTTAAGAGAATTATCTCTCACAGTTCTGTGGTTTAATTGGGCGAAACTGGGCAGTTTTTGGCTTTGGGCTTTTGCATGTGATTGTAGTCGGGTGAGTGAGGGCTGTGGCTGAGGTCATCCATCTAAAGGCTTCCAGAGACTGGCCTTCTAACTTAGCATAATACCTTGAAGATTCATACATGTTGCAGTATGTGTCAGAATTTCCTTTTTAAGGCTGAATAATATTCCATAGTGTGTATGAACCCCATTTTGTTTATCCCTTCATCCTCTGTGGACGTTTGAGTTGTTTCTACCTTTTGGTTCTTGTGAATAATGCTGCTTATGAACAAATATCTGTTTGAGTTCCTGCTTTCATTTCTTTTGTGTGTATACCCAGAAATGGAATTGCTGGATCATATGGTGTTTCTGTGCTTAACTTTTTTTTCCCAAAGCATAAATACATTTAAAAAATTTTTCTTCATTTATATTACTAATGTTAACAGTAATTTGTTTTCCTTTATTTTTAGTCTTTTCTAACACATGCTTAACCTAAATTCTTGGAAAGAGTTAGTGGTGTTTATAACACTTCATTCACCAACATTTATTTCTCTTCTGTATCCTGAGTTATTTTCCTTATCAAAAGTTAGGATAAGAACCCTAACCCTACCTTAACCCTAAACCTGTCCCTAACCCTGACCCTAACCCTAAACCTAACACTAACCCTGTCACTAACCCCAACCCTGTGCCTAACCCATATACCCTGTCTCTAACCCTAGCCCTAACTCTGACATTCCCTAACCCTAACCCTGTCCCTAACCCTAACCCTAAAAAAAAAAAGGATAAAATACTAATGGGAACTACTAAATTTTTGTATCTGATTTAATTTTTTTACTACCCATGTTTCATTACTTGAAAAATCTTCTAGCTTTTAATATTATTTTACTACAATCTGCTCTATTGCTCTGTTACAATCTTGTTTAAGCCTGTATCAAATAATACAGAATTTCCTTTTTGTACAAAAAAACTCAGGTATAGTTGACATTTAACATTATATTAGTTTCAGGTGTATAACAATGATTTGAAATTTGTATATATTGCAAATGATCACCACAGTAAGTCTAGTTAATATTGATCACCATACATAGTTAAAAATTTTTTTTTTCTTGTGATGAGGACTTTTAAGATTTATTCTCTTAGTGACTTTCAAATACGCAAGACAGTCTTATTAACTGTAGTCACATTACATTCCCATGACTTATTTATTTTATAATTGGAACAGTCTATTTTAAGTTATAAGAACTTAAGTTTGAACGCATTGTAAAGCTCTGCATTTTTACTTTACTCCACCCACATTTTGTTTTTGATTTCACATTTTACATCTTTTTATCTTGTGTATTGTAGTTATAAATATTTTTACTACTTTTGTCTTAATCTTCATACTAGCTTTATAAGTGATTAATTCACTACCATTACTATATATTTGCCTTTACCAAAGAGATTTATACTTTCATATGTTTTCTTGTTACTAATTAGTACCCTTTCTTTTCAGCTTAAAAAAAGTCCCTTTAACATTTCTTGTAAGGCTTGTTTAGTGGTGATGAACTCCTTTAGCTTTTGCTTTTCTGGAAAACTCCTTCAATTTTGAATTATAACTTTGCTGGGTAGAGTATTCTTGGTTGGAAGTTTCCTCCCCCCCAGCACTTTGACTATATAAGGCCACTCCCTTGTGGCCTGCAAAGTTCCAGCTGAAAAATCTGCTGATAGTTTTATGCGGGTTCCATTGTACATAACAAGTTGCTTTTCGCTTGCTCCTTTTAAGAATCTCTCCTTGTCTAACTTTTGACATTTTAACTGTAACGTGTCTTGGTGTGGGTATGTTTAACTTTTTGAGGTATTGCCAAAAGTTTTCCAAACAGCTCCACCATTTTACATTTCCAGCAATGCACAAGGGTTCCTTTTCTCTGTGTCCTAGCCACCACTAGTTATTTCCTGTGTGTTTTTCTTTTCTTTTTTTTTTTTTTTATAACAGTCATCCTAATGGGTCTCATTGTGGTTTTGATTTGCATGTCCCTACTAGTGATGTTGAACATCTTTTCATTTGCTTATTGGGCATTTGTATATTTTCTTCTATTCAAGTCCTTTGCCCATTTTTTTTTTTAAGATTTTTATTGGGGAATTGGGGGGATGGGAACAGTGCTGGGGAATTGGGGGAAGGGGAATGGATAAGTTGCTGTCGTTTTGTTCCTCAGTCTAGTTGTGGAGGACGTTGCTTCACTGGCCCAAGTTGGCACCATCATTGCACTCCCCCCGGGCAAAGCAGATCAGTCGCCGGCCTCTGGACGGCCGCTCACTGCGGCTGCTGGCCGCTCACGTCAGCTGCTGGCCACACACGGTAGCCCATGGCAACCCACTGCCACAGGGGCTGCAGCCCACGCCCTTGCCGGCGACTCACGGCAGCCCAGCTCCAGGTTGAGCCGTTGTTCAGCATCTTAGCTGTGGAGGGCAGTGTCACTGGCCCTCATATGTGGGATCCGAACCGGGGCGCTCCGGCATCCCAAGCCAGCTCTCAACCATCGCGCCACTCGGCCGGCCCCCTTTGCCCATTTTTAATCAGGTTGTTTGTTTTTTGTTGTTAAGTTATAGGAGTTCCTTATATTTTCTGGATATCAGTATCAAATATTTGATTTGCAAATATTTTCTCCCTTCTTCATGGGTTATCTTTTCACTCTATTGATAGTGCCTTTGATGCATAAAAGTTAAATTTTGATGAAGTCCAATTTATTTTGTAGTTGTTGTTTCTGCTTTTGGTGTTGTATTGAAGAAATCATTGCCAAATCCAGTGTCATGAAGCTTTCTCCCTGTATTTTCTAATAAGCTTTATAGTTTCAGCTCTTATATTTAGGTCTTTGATACGTTTTGAGTTAACTTTTGTATATGGTGTAAGGTAAGGGTCTAGCTTTAAGGTATCCATTTTTATTGGTCACAAGTGGTCACAAACTGGATGTGAAATAGAATGTGGAATTTGCTGGTGTTAGAAATGTAGTGATAGCCTAGGATATAGATGAGACACTAGCTTTATACTGTTGACATTTCTGAATGTTTTGGGAGTTCAAAGTAGTTGCAGTGAGGCTAGATATTTTAAGTGAATTGGGAAAATGGTTTGGAAACTCTAATGAAGACTGGGTCACTTTCACCAGGCCTCGTTAGAAAATAGCAGCATTTATGCATATTCTTAGATTTGTCACTCACATGTTTTATTCTTTTACCATCAGAATAGATAATGTTTGTACATTCTTTTAAATTTAGTATGTTCATGAGAATTGACTTTGGACAGTGATGATAGCTATATAATACATTAAAATCTTGAGTCTCTAGTTTTACTAAGCTCAACTCCTTGTGGAGAAAAAATGAATTATACTTTAAAAAAATTATTTTTCAATTACAGTTGACGTACAATATTATTATTAGTTTCAGGCATACAGCACGATTAGACATTTATATACCTTACCAAGCGATCACCCTATAAGTCTAGTATGCATCTGAAACCATACATAGTTATTGCAATATTATTGACTATATTCCTACACTATACATTACATCCCTGTGACTGTTTTTGTAACTGGCAATTGTACTTCTTAATCCCTTCACTTTTTTCACCCAGTCCCCTAATCCCCCTCCCATCTGGTGACATTCAGTTTGTTCTGTGTCTATGAGTTTGTCTCTGTTTTGTTTGTTCATTTATTTTGTTTTTAAGATTCTGCATATAAGTGAAATAATATGGTATTTGTCTTTCTTTATCTTACTTCACTTAGCATTATACCCTCTAGGTTCATCCATGTTGTTGCAAATGGCAAGATTTCATTCCTTTTTTATGGCTGAGTAATATTCCATTGTGTGTGGGACTTGCCTTTTCTACATTTCACCTCTTCTACCAGTCTCGACATGGCTTTTCTTAAATCCTTGGTTATGGGACTTATGTTCACGCAGCCTTCAATTGGTTCACAGTGGTGGTTGCTCTATAATTTAGTTGTAATTTTGATGTCGTGGGAGGAGATGAACACAGTGTTTACCTACTCCAGCATCTTGACTGGAAGTCCTAGATGAATTGTACTTATTGGTTGTGGAAAATCAATAGTGAAGCATCAGCGAAATTTCATACTAGGTGTAATTTTTCACCTTTCTCAGGGATTGAGGAATGATCTGAAAGCAGCTTTGGATAAGATCGATCAGCAATACCTCAATGAACTTGTGGGTGGTCAAGAACCTGGAGAGGAGGACACACAGAATGATTTGAAAGTTCATGAAGAAAACACCACAATTGAAGAGTTAGAGGTAATCTCTATACCCACCTTCCCTCATCCCCTGTCATACCTTACATTCCCTGGAGCAGATGGTTGAGTTCATCAGGTTGTTCAGTTCAGAGCACATTATACAGGCCATTCTTTCATTCCATGCCTTTATTTACTCACCCCCTTTTTCTCATTCTCCACTCTCATTCCCCAACTTCCTGCCTTCAAATGTAATCATTCTAATATGTTTGATGTGCATCCTTTTATTTGTTGGTGCTCTTCTTTGTGTGTATTTGTTTTTTATTTACATAAATGATATTGTACTGAGAAATTCTTCATTCTGTTTTTCACTTTTCTTTTTTACACTTTGAACTTTGTTTTTAATATCCATTCTTGGTGTCTTTTGTACATCTAAACCTTTGCTTTTAACTGCTAAATAATAGTTCATATGTTGTGGCATTCACCGCGTTTTATTGTTCCCCCATAATGATGACTAGATTGTTCCCAGTTCCCTATTAACCACCAACAGCTTTGTGGTAAAGAATCTTGTACATCACCGCTATGCACTCAGAAGTGGATTGCTGGATTTGTATATATTTAACTTGCCTAAGTACTGCCAAGTTGCTCTCTGGAATGGCTGTACCAGCCTGCACCACACCAGCAGTGTGTGAGTGTCTTGTATCCCTACATTCCCTGCCAACACTTGGCAATCTTTTGCTTTCTAATGTTTGCCAGTGTGTTGAATGTGGAATGATATATATAATCTTAATTGAAAAACAATGTTGATCATCTAAATATCTAGCTCGAGTGAAAAATATGGCCTAGTTTAAAGCTCTTAATACTTAATAAAATGTAAACTGATAGTTTTCTGTTTTCTTTCATTCCTGGCTCTTGTACATGTTACACTCTTCTGTGAGTGAGACCATAGTTGAGGAGGTTATCCTTTTAATTATACCCCCCTTGCCCCAGCACCTACCTATGGACCCTAAATTTTATTGGAATAATTGGTGTGAGCAACCAGTTCTGGGGTATTTTTTTTCCTTTTTTTCAACAGCTTCATTGAGAAATTCACTTACCGTACAATTTACAAATTTAAAGTGTGTACTTCATTGATTTTTAGTATAATCAGCAGATAGGATGGTGCAGTCATCTTCAGAATCTAATTTTAGAACATTTTTGTTCTCTTGAAAAAAGAAATATATCCATTAGCAGTCGCCCCCTTTACCACCTTTTCTATTTTTTGATTCATAAATGATAACATTCTTGCTAAATTTGAATGGCTGATCAGTGAGTATTTTTAAACTTATGTAGAAATTCTATGAGCTTTTTAAATAGAAATTGGGCAGACTATGTAATAAATAGCCATGTTGAGACTCGTGTTGATGACATCTGTTCAGTTGTTGCTCTTTACTGATGAGCAGGAACATTGTTTTTCTTCAGGCATTGGGAGAATCATTAGGAAAAGGTGATGATCATAAAGACATGGACATCATTACCAAATTCCTGAAGGTACGTACTTTCAGGCTAGGAAAGGAGGACATTTGGGTTGCTTAAGAATTGTTCTTATATTTTTGGATTATGAAGGATTAAAGACTGGGAAGGAAAGCTCAATAAGCATTTCTGGCATGTACACTGTTTATGATATTGCTATGCACTTGGATATAGAGGTTAATCAAAGACAATGTGTATTTATGTTGCTCGTGGCACTTCTCTTTAAAGCTGACTTATTAATGTAAACACGTAGAAAAGAAGCGCAGCAGTGGAATGAACAAGAAGTTTGGGGAGTTAAAAATTTTTTTAAAACACTCTAGGAAGGAGCACAATGAGGGGAGGGTTCCAGAAGCTTTTATGAGAGGTGGTGACAGTAAGGAAAGGAAGGAGGTGGGAAGACATGGTCATTGAAGAAAGCGAACACATCGGTAACCTTTCAGAGACTGTTCATTTTCTCAATTCTACAGATAGCTGCTTTTTCTTGCTACGCTTGGTCATTCTGTCTGTCTTCTCAGCATTTCTCTGTTTCGTGGCTTAGACTGTGTGCAAATCCCAGATTCATTTTATCATTTATTCACATGTTATTTATGTTCAGGCCAAGAGATTTAAATGTAAGAAATGTTTTTACTTGTATTTAGAGTTTAAGTACAACATATGTTTCATCAAGATTCTGAATCTATTGAGGATATGATATGGAACTAGACAGGGCATGGGAACTAGTTATGAACTAGACTTTTCTCTCTGAGTTATATAGGATTACACTGGGGACCGCCACTAGGGGAGTGTGCCCTCCTCAGTCTTCACTGTTTCCCTGCCTCTCGAGAAAAGGGGCTGTTTGTACAGTTAAACCCATGGGGCACTGGGGCGGGATGGGTCATAGTTTTTTTTATTTCTGTTCCTTTTTTTCCTTCTTTCTATGTTAGTTAGGCACTTTAGTGGGATTTTTAAATTGAATTTGTAGTCTCGACTGCAAAAGGAGAAAGTCCAAATACCACAACATACTTGGAAGATTGCTTAAATATCATGGCACATATGGTATTATAATGTAGGTGGGTTGAATTTTATGTAACAGAAATACAAGTAAAAGTTTATTTCCATCAAACAGTTATCCATGTAATGTGATAGTTCTTTTTAGGGGGACTAGATTATCTCTGAGCTAGGAATATATGTAGAATAGGGAAGTTTGTATGTGACTTGCCAAAGGTACTACTTCAAGACATACATGACAAAATAAGCGGAAATAGTTGATTAAAATATCATCCACTAGTAATTAATCAGTCAAGAAATTGACTCTCGGGATGATAGTATACTGTTTTGTGTGTTAGAGAACTTTTAAACTTGTTGAACCACTGGGTGGCATTGTAGTCTAAATTTACCCATTCTTTCAACAGTTCCTTCTTGGCGTTTGGGCTAAAGAACTGAATGCCAGAGAAGATTACGTGAAGCGCAGTGTGCAGGGTAAACTGAACAGTGCCACTCAGAAACAGACCGAGTCCTATCTCAGACCCCTTTTCAGGAAGCTGCGGAAGAGGGTGAGGTGTCTCAAAAATGCTTCTATTAACGGGTTCAACAAACAACGTATAAAATTAGAACAAATGCAGTCTGTAACTACACACAGTAGCTTCCAAAATTAGTTATGCTTTTTTTTTCTTTTCCAGAACCTTCCTGCTGATATTAAAGAATCCATAACAGATATTATTAAGTTCATGTTGCAGAGAGAATATGTGAAGGTACATTACCGTGCTGTGCATTGAAAGTTCGGTTATGAGCTTCTCTAGATTGTGCACATAATATGTTCATTTAGTGTGGGAGTATTTTACATAGGAGATTCAAGAATAGATGTGAAATGAATTCGTAGTAAAATAAACCTTTTATTTTCTCAGCTCTGTATTGTCAGCTTTATTGTTGGGCATTGAATATAAAACTTTTAGACCACACTGTATGTTTAGTCATTTTTAAAGTAGGTATAAAGATTCTTCAGATCATGAACTGGATATAGGCAGTGTTCATTTCATGAATGGGATTGAATGGGATCAAAGTTTGTAAATTGTTTCTGTTGGAAAATTTGTTTCAAGCCATAATCAACAATGTTAAGCAGATTCATTTCGCAGGCCAGCTATAAAATCCCTCTTAATCCATAATATAGCTGAACTGTTGTATTACTGATACAATGGAATTTGACCACCCTTTGTACTTGTTTCTGTGAGAAATTGTTTCAGGTCAGGCTGCCAGAGCTCATCTCTCCCATCTCAGGACTGCAGCAGCAGCAGCCCTTGTAAGGGAAGACCTTCCCCTGGCTCCAGTATCTTTCCTCCCAAGTGGGCTCTGGGAGGAGGTGGCATGGGGAAAGGGCTCTGGTGTCCAGGTGCTGCGGGGGTAGTGTTTTGAAAGGGCAGAGTGGAAGGCTGTCACTTGATGGAGGGGAACAAGAAGAGAAGAACCTAATGCACCAGTCGTGGAGGTTGGAAATGGGACATTGCTTGGTGGGTCACAAGCTGAGTATGAAGAGGAGGGCTTCTGGCGGTGTGCCGCAAATGGGAGTAGGAGTAGAGAATTTCAGTGTTGCAGTCCCAGCGACAGAGCCAGAGCAGTAAATAGGGCACTGACGGAAGAGTGGGAACTGCTTATTTCTGTGCCTGAGTATCTGTACTCATGAAAAGGGACTGCTGGCATTCCTGGATGACTGGCTGGTCTCTTGATCAGAGCCTCATGCTATTGAGGCTCAAGTATTGTTTTCACTCCCTTTATATGAGAACCAGTTAGTTTTATCGAAGAAAATGTTTTTGTTTTATGGCTATCACTTTATTCTTGGATAGTTTCTGTTAGCTGTATGGTACTTACTAAGGACGACTGTATTGGAATGGATGAGTGAGGTCACCATTGCTGCAGAAAGAATTCATATCACTTGCTTTTCCCCCTGTGACTTTTTCTTGTTCTCATATATGAGAATCAGGTGAAAGTTTATTTTGTATAAACTACAGACGGAACCAAGGAACTTCAATAATCTATTTGGACAGTTTTCTTTGGAAATTTAGGGAAACAATATTCGAATTTTTGAGAATCAGTGATAAAAATGTCTTTTTAAAATTAAGTTTTAAAAAAATTGAGTAGAGCAAATTGAAATTTATCTTTAGGATAGAAATGACCTTCTCATTACCCTATTTGTAGTACCTAATTTTTTTTTAATCAACTCTACATATCAATCATATAGGTGTTTGATTTTTGAAATGAAAATCTCTTTGAAGCCTGGCTGTATAGGCATCTCTGAAATCCTCAGGGCCTTTTAGAATTTCCTTGCCTTCTATTTTGTTTTTCTTCTTTTTCTTCCTCATAGGTCGCCAGGCTTGGTTTAGAAAAGAGCCATTTGTCTTCATTGGTTTCTATCCTTATGTTTTGTAGCTTTTATTTTAAGGTTCTTGGCAGGTGGGAAGTTTGGGGTGCCAAAGTGAACCGATCTCATCCTTTAGCTATTTGACTTAAGGGCCAGTATTTAATCTCTGTTTACACATCTGCCGTGGACCCTGTGTAACAGTCCCAGCGCACAGAGCCCCCACTGCTTTCAGAGGTCTGCACTGCTGTGCAGGGAGTGGATATGGTTTCAGGTTGGATTATGAAATAGTAGTGAGCCTCTATCTTCTGTGTGACCACCTATGCAGAAGACTAGGTCGAAAGGGATCCAAACTAGAGTTTCTGTCAGGACGTCAGATTACTTCCCTGGTAATGCCAGATCTGAAATGCATTAATGTCTAGTGCACAAAGGCTGCAAAGGAGTGTTTGTCTCTACTCACATGGTTAGCTTTGGTTTGTTTTACCATGGACATTTATGGTCCTGGGAAGGGCAGTCAGTCATCCCATTTTTTAATTTCTTCTGTTTGAATAAGGGGAATAGTAATATTTTCAACATGCCCAAGAGATGGATGAAAATTACATCATAAAGAGCTGTGAAATACTTGAATTAAAAATTTGGACCAACACAATATTTTTGCTTGCCTGATCCCTCTTCTTAATCTTTCTTTTTAGGCTAATGATGCTTATCTTCAGATGGCCATTGGAAATGCCCCTTGGCCCATTGGTGTGACTATGGTTGGTATCCATGCCAGAACTGGTAGGGAAAAGATTTTCTCCAAGCATGTTGCACATGTTTTGAATGATGAAACACAGCGGAAATATATTCAGGTAAGCAGTTTGGAGGGAAGAAATTTCTCTGGAGGACAACATTGTCCAATTCCCAAACTGTAAATTTTGAGAGCAGAAGAATTATAGCAAATAGGACATAGCATGATAGGATGCAAGTCCGCTCTATATATACTTATATATGAGACATCTTCATTGAATAACATGAAAATCTTTTAAGCTTCATATATGATGCAAGACAGTATGAAGTGTTGTGCTTTAATTAATTGTCTTTGCATTGAAATAAAACTATTGCAGTTTGCTTTGGGAGTTTAGTGATGAGCAACAAATTTAGAGTATTTTGCAGTAAATCCCGTTTTGTCACTTTCAAGGTAGATTTGACAGTTACTAGGATAAAAAGGAATGAAGAGTAAAAATTAGGCTTTAATGAATATGATTTTTAAGTAATGTGTATCAACACTTCTCTACACAAATAGGTCTAAAGTGTTTATAGTTTATTTTCTTAAAGTTATACAGGCCTCACATAAACGTATTTGAGCTGTTATTGGTTAAACTTCTCTTAGTGGGAAAAAAAACAACTGTATTCTTAGGTTTTGCCAAATTGTCAAGAATCCCAGGTTGTGTCTGTCTAATGACTTTTGCTGGATGTTAAGTCTAATGCTTGAAGATGATACTCTGAAAGTTTACTTAAAATTTAAAATTCACTTAAAATGCATGAAGTGATTTCAGATTTTGTGCCAGAGAATAATTGTTACCATATTCATGAGTTATCTTTTTGTTTGTATTTCAATTCCAAGTGATAAATGTTAATTTGTATTATGCTTTATTCACATATATTAGCATTTTGAAAAATGATTTCAACCTGACTCCCTGATACGAACTGTAGAATTTATAGAGTTCAAATATACTTATGGAAATTTGAGGACATTTCCATTTTTTTAAATAATCACTAGGGACTGTATTGAAGGCAAAAAGCTTTTACTTGGGAAAAAAAGTTGATTGGCTTTAACAATAGAAAGCAATTTCCAGTGATTAAATTTGCTAATTGTGTTCAACTGTACCATGGCCAAAGCTATAGTGTGTATACAAGTTCTATAATTAGATAAATTATCTTAAATAGCATTTCTTTTTTAAGTTTCAAGTGTACAATTCTATAACACATCACCTGTATATTGTATTATGTGCTCACCTCCCTCTGTCACCATATATTTGACCCACTTTAACTTCTTCATCCTCCCCTCTGGTAACCACCATACTGTTATCTGTGTCTATGAGTTTGTTTGTTTTGATGTTCATTTTTTGCTTTCTGTTTTATATCCCACATATGAGTGAAATCATATGGCTCTTGTCCTTTTCCATCTGTTTTATTTCACTTAGCATGATACTTTCAAGATCCATCTGTGTTGTTGCAAATGGCAGTATTTCATCCTTTCTTACGGCTGGGTAATATTCCATTATGTATATGTACCACATCTTTTTTTTTTTTTTTTAAATGTGGGGGAATGAAGGCTTTTATTTTACTTTCTATTTTTTATTTTTGTACCACATCGTTATCCAATCATGTGGTTGTTTCCATGTCTTGGCTACTGTGAGTAATGCTGCAAGAAATATAGGAGTACATATATCTTTACAAACAGATGTTTTCAAATTTTTTGGGTAGATACCCAGAACAGGGATTGCTGGGTCGTATGATAATTCTATTCTTAATTTTTTGAGGAACCTCCATACTGTTTTCCATAGTGGCTGTACTAGTTTACATTCTCACCAGCAGTGCATTGAGGGTTTCTATTTCTTCACATCCTCTTCAACACTTATTTCTTGTCTTGTTGATAACAGCCATTCTAATAGGTATGAGTGAGGTGGTATCTCATTGTGGTTTTGATTTGTATTTTCCTAATAGTGAGTGAGGTTGAGCATCTTTTTATATATCTGTTGGCCGTTTGTATGTCTTCTTGGGAAAAGTATCTGTTCAGATACTGTGCCCATTTTGTAATAGGATTCTTTTTTTGTTGTGTTATACGAGTTCTCTATATATGTTGGATATTAACCCCTTGTTGGAGGTATTCTTTGTAAATATCTTCTCCCATTTGGCTGGTTGCCTTTTTGTTTTGTTTATGGTTTGTTTTACTGTGCAGAGGCTTTCTAGTTTAATGTAGTTAGTATTTTTTTTTAAAGCTTTCTGGTTTATATTGGAAGCTATATAATGATATAGCCTACTTCCGTCGTTCATCCTTTTAAAATGTTTCCTTCTCATTTAAAAAAGATTCTCCTTTTTTCCCAACATGAGTAGGGAAAATTGATGAACATACTATATCTGAACTTTAGGAAGATGTCTGACCTAAACCCAGTAACACTCATGTGGACAAATGTAGACATGACAGTCCAGTCAGGACTCATAGCTGGTTGAGTGAGGAACGCCAGGGAGTACCAAACAATGGATCCGTGTCTACTTGGGTGACCTCAGTACTAACCTGTTCAACATTTTAATGACTGATGTGTATGATTATAATTATTCAGAGAGGTCTATTTATCAGATTTATAGACAATAAGAAACTAGAAGGGATAGAGTGTGTGTTAAGAAATCGGCATTCTAGAAGTTCTTGACAGACTGAAGAACAGGGCAGATTCTAAAAATATAATACTTACCAAGGATGACCATAAAGAAATTTGGATCCAATAACCTAGTTGCTTGAGCATATAATCTGAGCAATGTATGAGAGAAAGAATTGTAATTTAGTGGACTGTAAGTGCAATAAAGTTAGTAATATATGGTTACTGGAAAGTTTAATGATAGCTTACGTTATTATGTAAGTAATAATGTTATTTAATATTATGTTACAGTATTAGACATAATAATTTAGTGTTGATTCCACAAGGCAAGAACAGAGTTCACTGTTGTACCCCCAGAGTCTAAAACAGTACCATACTCATGGTGGGTGCTCAATGAATATTTGCTGATTGAGTGAATACTCTATGGGACAAGAAAGTCCTTGAGAAAGGTTATTCTTGGTTGAGATCTGGGCAAGAGTGTTTTATAGATAATGGAAGAGCTTTCTGGTGAAAGAGGGATTAAACCTGTCATATACTGGTAAGGACCGATTTAAGGTTCAAGAAGGAAGACAGATTTCTAATCAGTGTAAGGAAAAGTGTTTTTTTTTAAAGATTTTTATTGGGGAATTGGGGAAAGGGGAACAGACAAGTTGTTGTCTTTTTGTTCTTCAGTCTAGTTGTGGAGGATGTTGCTTCACAGGCCCAAGTTGGCACTTTTTTTTTTTTTTTTTAATGAACAGCCAAAATCTTGATTGTTTTTTCGAAAAAATGGACACTCCTATTTTAAAAACAGCACCAAATTAAAAAAAAACAACAACAACAAAAAACATTGTGTAAAGCCAAATAAAATTCCAGTTAGTGATCTGTGTCATTTAAACCATGGTGCAGCTCAAGGCAAAAGAATGCTGCCACCCCCCATGTTAGAATTTTATGAGATTCTTGGTTACAGTTAACTGAGTAATTTCCTAAGCTATCTTATGAATCTCCTTCTTGTTACTTTGGTATTTAGGTGAGGTTGATTTGAATTATCCTAAAAAAGGAACAATTTAAATATATTATTTGAAATTTAAGTCCAGGATTGGCAAACTTTTTCTTAAAGGGTTAGCTAGTAAGTATTTTAGGCTTTGCACTTCATAGGTCTGTGTCGCTGCTACTCAGCCCTGCAGTTGTGTTCCTGTAAAGCTCCATTTATAAAAGAGGCAGGTGGCTTGTGGGCCCGTTGACCGACCCTGGTAAGTGTGTAAACCCAGACCATTTCTACCTTAAGATATTTGCTGATGAGGTAATGTGACAGTCATTTAATAAGGTAGTTATTTCTTTTGAAATGAGATAGAACATCCCTCCACTAACAATGTAGTGCATGGAGTATACTAATCTTAATTGCAGATCTCAGCCATTCTTGATATATGTAACACATATCACGGCATAAAACAAGATCTGGGTGAAGGACATTTCTAGCAGTACCCCAGAAGGCTCCTTCATGCCTTTTCCCAGCCTAAATCCTCCCTCCCGTCTGAAGTTAGCCACTGATCTGATTTGTGTCATCATTGGTTAATTTTGCCTGTTCTTGGACATCATTTAAATGGAATCTTGTAATGTATGGAGTAATTTTTTAATTTAGAAATACTGGTGAGACAGATCCGTTTTATGAAATATGGTAGAAAACAATTTTAAGGGGCTAGTTTGCTATAACATGATTTCATCTTTGGGTTTTATGTAAACCTCTGTAGAATTTAAATTGGAAGTTGTTTGAAGTGTTCCCTTTCTCACAAAAATTAAACATACCACAGGGAGAGATTTCGTGTCATGCAGATCAAAGAAAAGCTGTATAGCTTATTAGGTAGTCTCAAATCTAAGGGTGAGATTTAAATTGATGGTAGAAACTTGAAGAACTTTGTTCGTTCTGCCAAATACAGATGTAGCCTTTGGCCTAGATTTGGGTAAAGTTTCTTTGACACAGATTATAGGAAGCTCTTTATTATCTAGAGACTTTGTAATTCAGTCATTTCAAGGTGTCTCTTGAAAAGGTTCACATCTTGGGCATCTTGTCGGTAAAGAAGACAAGAAGAAAAGGTGAAATTGACATCAAATGGCTATTTGCCTCTCCAGATCCCCTCTCCATCCTTCCTCACCTTGTCCTGTGCCCCAGAAACCTGACTTCTATGAGCAACCTTGACAGGCTCCCTTGCCCTCTGGCTTCTGATGGGGCAGGCAGTGAGAAGAACTAGCATTTTGTAGGTGGGAGAAGAACGAGTTCGGGTATTTGTTTCCCTGGCTTCCTGCCTGTAGAGGCATCTTGGTGGCTGTCTGCATGCAGTTACCCTCTCTGGGTTTCAGTCATCATTCCCCTCCCCTGCCCCTTCGGAACTCAGACTGGCCACCACTTCCCGGCACTGTCAGCTCTGGGGTACTGTACTATCTCTTATTGGTCCCAAGTTCTGCCTGCTCCTTTGTAAAGTCTTTGGAACTGCTACCATCAGATTATTCAGTTT